TAGTCATAACTTGGCTAAATTATATTTGGTACATAGTTTGACATTAGTGTGTCTCTATGTTCACAAATATATTAGAAATATGCCTTCAAAGTTGTGAGTAAAGAATAAAGTGAACATACAATGCTATTTTTAAAGAGTTTGGATAAATTACTCTGTCACTCGAGATGCTTTTGGCTGTCAGTAGCAGAAAACCCCAACTCAAAAGGGCATAAACAAAAATGATATTTAGTCTCTTCTATTTCTCATAGTCTAAAGGGTAAAGTAGGTTCCAGGTATAATGAAGAACAGCTCAATGGGATCCTTAAGAATTTAGGTTCTTTCTATAACTCTGCTCTGCTGGTTTTGGTCCTAAGACCAGTTGCCTTCATGGTTCTCTGAGATACAGAGACTTCATGCTTTCTTGATCGTCTTTAGTAGGAAAGAAATAAAGACTTCATGCTTTCTTGATTATCTTTAGCAGGAAAGAAAGAAAGAAAGAAAGAAAGAAAGAAAGAAAGAAAGCAAGAAAGAAAGTATATGCCATTCTTTCCAACCTATTGGGTCAACTTAGGTTACAGGATCATCCTGGGACCAATATTGGTTTCCTGGGCAAGAACAATCCCAAGATTGGCTTAGGCTAATCAGGATTTTCCCAGTGAAGAGGATAGAATGAATATCTGAATAAAACCAAGGTTCTGAAAGGAAGGAAGAAGGAAATATCATTGGATAGGTAGTCAACAGCATCTATAAAAATTACCTAACTTGGTCTTTATGTTTTAATAAATCTGGCAAACACTATTTGTGTTTTATAATCTTGGGGGACTAAAATATGGTATAAATAATTCCTGAAATAAGAAAAGGTTTACCTTCATAGGAAAAAATGTAGTAAAGTAACCTCAGAAACAACTATTCAAATCAAATTCAAAGATCTTAAATCATAGAAGTGTGGTAATTTAATTTCCCCATGCTAAAGGAAAATTTATATGACAGGTATAATGTGGTATGTTGTGGACTGTTGGAATTTGAAAAAGTTGTCTTTCTTGATTTTCACATTTTGATATATTTTTCCTTCCCATCCCCACCTACTTCTTTTCTTTAAATTCCTATTAAGTTTTTCTTTTCTGCAAAATAATGATATGCTAATAATGTGGCAGACCTCATTTTCTATTTCTCTATAATGACATTAACAGAGATCCTCTGAGGTGACTGATGTAAAAGAGTTAGTTTCCAAGGAAAATGATGTGTTTTAAGAGAGGATGGCCTGACCTTCATAATAATGCTCTATGCAAGATATTATATCAATTTAGTAATTATATAGAGCAGACAAAAATGAAACATACCGTTTTGATAAGTATTAATTTTGATTGGACTCAGGTTTTGCAACTTGCAATTAAAAATCAATGAATGATAATCTATTCAAGTAACAATGGCTAGAAACTAAATAACATTACTTTATATGTCATGCATAAGACAGGCATGATATTTTCTATTTTGGTCAAAGTATCTTATTTTTAATAAACTACTATCTTATTTATCTCCCTAAAATCCTTAATTTAATTAAACAATAAGCACAAAACTTTTTATATTTTTTGTAAATAATACTTCTGATAGATTCTTATTATAGCTAAGTTTAAAAGTACAGTAATTTATTAAATTGCTACATTCTTTATAATTTTCACGAAATCTAGGGGGAGAAGGAATATTTCGAACTGTGGAATAGATCTTTATTAAGTTTTAAAGTTACTGGTATCTGACAGCTGGCAAAGATTTCACTGGAGCAGAAAACTAAGTATTTTGACCAGCACAACTTATTCTTATTTTCAGAACAGCAGTATAGCCATAACTATTCTTCTGAATAGGATTTACTCAATCCACAGAAATGTCACTTCTTGGTGTTATCTTGAAACTCTTGATTCCCTGCTTTTTCTCAGTAAATTACTTCTGACATAGTGCTGTCTTCTGATTTCCCTCCTACCACTCTGCACCCCTCTTTAGTACCCTATGATGGCTCTCTTTTCTTCTCTCACCTCTTAAAAGAAATCATTCTCAAAGGTTCTTTTCTGCTTATCTTCCCTAACCTCTTCCCAACCACGTGTTTCCTTAAGCCCTCTGCATCTTCTGGTAACTTCACGCTCAGGGATTCAACTCCCACTTATATGCCTAGGACTTCCAAATCTGCGTCTTTACCTCTTCCTTCTCAAGACAAGAATTCAACTTTCAATAGCTGGCCAGACATCTCTCCCTGGTTATTCCATAGATGTTCAACCCTTCAGAGATGACCTCAGCTGAACTCATCTCACAGATTACTCCTCCAGATGTTGACTATTGGTACTTCCACTTCCAATTTGCCCAGTTTTGGAATCATAAAGTTTTCTGACCCCTTCCCTGTCTTCATCCCTGCACCTAATTGGTCACTTCACACACTATGATTTCACCTCTGAAATGTCTCTCATTCACTCTATTTCTATGACTAATACTACTGTGCTGGTCCTGACCCCCAAATTAATTGGACCATGTCAATATTCTTAAAATCTGAACTTCCTGCCTTTTTATGTTTCATCCATTCTAACACTTCTCTTGATTTTCTATCGTGTGAAGAATAAAGTCTGGACTCTCAAATGTTTCTTTCAGTTTCCCAGCCTTGATTTTCTGCCTCATTCCCATGCATGCATTAGCCATACCAGAATTACTTGATTCCAAACATGCTGTATACTTTTAAAATTTTATTATTTTAACATATTTAAATGAAAATTCTATTATTTAAAAATTTATTGTTATTGTTTTACTTTTTTGTTTTTCAAATCCTGACACACAAACCTTTAATTTTTTAATAAAATGTTACAGGCTGCCTGGGGACAGCGTTTCCCCCCCTAAAACCAGTCATGAAAAGGCAACTAATTGTATTTAGTTCTTAGAACTTCAGAAACAACATAGTTAAATAGGTAGGCAATTTTTAAAAAGTATTCTGATAACAATAAATGGGACTCTTTCAACATTTTTGTTACAGTGAGGGAAGATGGATTTTTGGGAGAATTCCAAACAATATTTTCATTTTATGCACACCCACACATACACAAATATTGTAAAAGCTTGATCTTATATGTACAAAAAGGTTCTATAAATGTTGGGAAAAGGTGAAGAAATAAACAGCATACATCAAACAAATACAAAATTGGTATGTGTTATGACTTGAATAGAAATCTAGAAAAACAGACTTGTAATTAAATACTTTAAATTGTTATAACCAATGAAACCATAGCTTTAGTAGATAACTAAGAATTACTACTATATCCTTTGCTTCAATACTTTAAAATATGACCATAATCCATCAGAGCCAGTTTATATAAGCACTTTTTCAGTATTAATTTCAATGATAATATAAAAAGTATATTCTAGACCACCTAAAGAACGAACTCATAACTAAGTACTGAATTATTTCACTGCCTAGAGTTGCAATGTGTTGCTCACACTGACATCAAGTAGAAGCCAGTAACTTAAAATAATAGCATTAAGTGTTGTGCAAACTGGTCCATAAACATTCACAGGGGTCCTTAGGTTCTCAAACTTGAGGACATTGTCATAAAGTTTTAAATATATGTTCAGCTATAACTGAAATTCTAACTTGCACATTTCTAACCCACATTGTTACCCCACCCAAAAAAACAAAGCAAAACAAAACAAAAACTCAGGACCGCTTCACAAAAAAATTATCAAATTTATTTCATATCTAGTTTCATTTTTAAATTAGAGCCGTTTGACAATTTTTTGTAACTTAAAATTCACTGTCAGATGCAGAAAACAACAAGCTATTAAATACTGACAGTAAATAAAATTACTGGACCATGCATTTATAGTAAAAGCCATGCTTACTAGTAAAAAACTTCCAGTTATATTACTTAACTTGAAAGAAACATTCTTTAACTTCTGATTATAGCACATTCTCATATTCTCATTTTGACATAATTTATCCCTTCACTCAATTACTACTGTACCTCAACAAAATGTTTACCAATTTCCAGTCTTTCTTTCCATTTATGAAAACTTAACTTATTCTTTAAAAGTTCTTTAAAAGAAACCTGAAATTTTAATTTTCACTTAGAACTTGTTTAATCACAATGTAATGGACATCACTACCATATGAATTAAAACAAAGAATGGAATAAAAAACTAAAATAGTGTCTATATAATCAGCAAATTATCTGATAAGACATTTTAACTATTTCACAGTTCTACTTAGCATGAAAATAAACTGGTTCCAAGGTACAACAGCATTTGGTATTTTTACTGCAAGCTACAAATCATGTTTCTCTTCTTAACAAATCATCTCTAAGAAAATGGCAGTGTTTGTAAGTATAAAACTGTTATATCCAGTAAGTGGTATTCTGCATAGTCAAGAAAAGAGAAATATTTATAAAATTATGTCTTAAACAATTCAAAATACTTTTATAATTACCCGTTGTCTCAAAGGCTAAAATAAGAAAAATGTAGCAAGTAGAACTACTCATTAATATTTTGCTTTGAGAAAGTCAGAAATGATTCTATTCTAATAAGTAATAATGATAAAAGATATGATTAATATACTGTATCTCTTTTAAGCCAAAGCACACTTGCCACCTCAGAAAGGACAATTCTGACTTTAACATTCTTAATTTTCTTTGTGCAGAACAAGACCACATTGTAAATAGGGTTTATCTGAATAGAGTTCATAATCTAAAATCATTTTTCCCCACAGGATGTTGTCATTTCAGTACATAAATGGCTAAATGGCAAAAAACTAAGTTATAAAGAATTTATACCACAAAAATTGCTAATTTACAATAACTGCCAATAGATACCAACAAACTTCTACACACAAGCCTAAAAGTTACTACAGTATTGAGGTCAGAACTAACATGATTCTTTTGTTTGGTCAAATTTCATTTACTAAATAATACTGTCAAGAAATTCATTTAAGAAACCTTAGTGGGTCCTTCCAAAGCCGCATAATTTCCAAATTATTTTCCTCTGGTTGCAGAGTTTGTTCATTCCTTCAATCCCTTTTTTAGTCGTTTAGCTTTTGCAATATTTTCTTGACGTTTTTGTTTTTTCTTTTGCTCCTTCTTCTTGGCCTCAATCATTTTGGCCAATTTCCAAGACAGTACAGCACTTGCTAGGAACAGTGGAGTAAGAGCCAAAATAACTGTTGTAAGGAAGCCATATGGGTCCTTTGCAGCCCATTCCACAACATACTCAGCCCAACCCTTTATATCAAACATCTTCGTAGCAGTCTTAGGAAAACTTATGCTTGCGTAGTGTGATCTCTAACTTTGTCCAGGTATGAGTGAGCCAGTCAGTTTCAGATGCCCGTTGGTTGTCTGTCTTTAGTTCTACTGTATACTTCTGGAAGAAGGCTTAAATTTGCCAGACTGGAAGCAGGAAGCTGTTTTACTTTTTTCTCAAGCTGTTTTCTCTCCCTTGATTTCCTTCTCTACTTCTCTCAAGTTCTCACTGCCTCTGAGCCTTTGTACTTGTTGTGCCCTTGGCCTAGAATAATATTTCCTTAGGTCTTTACATGGGAAGCTCCTACTCTTTGCAGATTCCAGATGGGATGTTAACTTTTCAGAGAAGCTTTCCTGACCATCCACTCCAAAGGAAACCCTTTCCCAGCAGTTATCTCATATCCAAGCATAATATTTATTTACTTTCATTTACTCATTACTCTTCAGAACTTCTCCTGTTCAGGTAGTTAGTTGTTTATTTCTGCCTCCTCAACAAGAATAAAATCTACTTGTGGAAAGAACTTTGTCTTATTTATTACTGCTCCCATTTCCTAAAATACTGTCATATAGTAGATGCTCAATGAATATTATTGAATAAATAAAGTTTTGTTCCCTGAGGTGATATGTTTTGGTTTTTTGGTATACCGTATACTTACTTTAAATCATATTGAACAAGAACCACCTCTCTGCCCTCATTCTTTCCTTCTAGATGGGTTTAATTTTGTGGAAATTATGTTTTTATGACTCTCTTCTTTTAACTTAGTTAAATTATACAACTTTAAGGGGAGAGAGAGAAAAAAAGAAAACGTTGATACTTTGAGGAGAGAGCCAGATTCAACCCATTTAATTAGTACCCAGCTCTCCTGAGGCCCCACAATGTGAAGGAAATGTAGTATTTAGGGAAATATCTGAATTCAGAGACAAGAGACCTGAGTTCTAGTCATCATTCTGTCACCAACATATTACATTATGGTGAGTAGGTTCTTTAACCTCTGTGGACCTCAGAATCACAGTGTAGAAGATAAAGATTGAACTAAGCAATATTCAATGCATCCTAATCCTGAGTGGAAAGGGGAGATGGAGAACCTTTTGTGTTGGTTTTTGCTATCACCATGGGGTATGTGTCCATGTGATTGTGGTGTCCATTCATTCCATGGGGGAGCTGTGCAAGGTGTGCTTCTGTAGCCCCCAACCCTCACCCCTGAAGAATTCTTACAGGCAATGAATGCTTCCAGGCCTTTGTTTCTTCTGCTATAAGGCCAAGGCACAGTGAAACACAGAGAACTGGGCTAGCCCCTCAGAATTTCCCCAGTACTACATTCTGTACAACCTTTTGGAACTGTCTTAGCCCATTCTTACCATGAGGTACCTTAGACATTCTCTTTAAAGTCCCCTTGGTGGCAAAATGGAAACAAGCTCTGTACCATATTTCAGAGATGCACTCAATGGAAGATCACATTTTCTGAAGATGGCTCCCACAGTCTCTCTCACCTCTAATGTTTTTCTTCAGTGTGAACTTACCACACCTCCCATTAAGAAGAAGAGCCTATTTCCCCTTCTCTAGGATCTGGGCTGGCCTAAATATCTTGCACAACCAATAGGATAAATCAGAAGGGATGTTCTGGGACTTCTGAGGTTAGTTCATGCGAGGACTTGCTCTTGGATCAGTCCTTTCAAGATTTGCCATGACCCAGCCCATGCTCTAACTGACAGGATCTTGGGACAAAAGTTGGCAGTGAGATAGATGAAATAATTTCAAATATGTTTGAGTAGAAGGCATTCATTTGAAACTGAAGGTTGACTGAGACTAAATTCATAGAATATTAAAAGAAGAGAAGCCTTATCTGGGACCCTTCCTAAAATCTTTTCCTGGTGTGAACTTGGGAATTCATGTAGTCAGTAAAAATGTAGGGCACCATGGAGTATTAGACAACAGTCTGGCAGGAAAGTGTGTCCCTGCCACTGCCAAGGGGAATAGCAGGTAGATTACCTGCCTGGCCTCAAAAACTCACTTCATAGTCTTCAAGATGAGGAGAAGGAGGTAATCCGGTAGCATCCCTTAGAGGACACTCCTACCCCAAGGGTACACACATTAAGTTCCTTTCCCATAACTCATGAGGGAGCCTTCACATCTGTGGTTTGGCTTCTCAAAGTGAAGCCTTCAGGGCCCAGAGCACTGGCCTCAATTTGGTGAGGTGCTTGAGCTCAAATGACAATCTCTCATATTAGTAAAAATATGGAATGAAGCATACCTTTTGTACTTTTCTCAGAAACTAAAAATTAGATTTTCCAGTATTTTACATTGCCTCACCATCAGACCACCAGAACAAATTAGTTGTTTATTATGTAATATTTTTTAAAATGAGGAATTGATCTATTTAAATATTTTCAGGATTTAACTTTCACAAAAAGAATTAAGATTCTTTTAGTTATTTAGAAATTAGTCATAATTTAAGACTTTGTGTTGTGATTTCCTTAGTTATTAGCTTATTCCATCCAGGAGAGTGAATAAGCAGGGAGAAAGAGCTATAAGGGTTTATGGCTGGGACTTGAGATGGGCTGTTGTTTACAAAATGAATTTTCACTAATTTCCTGGGCACACATTTCCCTGATTTTTTTGCAGTGGTCAATAGGGGGTAATGGTGGGGATTTATGTGTCTGAATATGGCATTCTGTTTGTTTTTGGATCCATCCCTGGTCCAGTTCCAGTTTCCTGGATATTAGGGGGAGAGAGAGGCTTAGTAATAAAACTGAAGAAGTTGTATAATCTATATCTCTTTGCTTCACTTGTGTGCAATTGTATTGCATTTGTATGGAATTTGGAGGTAAGTGCTACACACAAATTCAAGTCTTGGAAATGTCTCATATGCAGTTCTGAGCTCAGGCTCACCTCCCATCACTGGCTTAATGAAGAAGAAGATGAAGCCATAGAACATGGTGCTACCACAAGATGGCAGGAAACTTCATCCCTGAATGGCTATGAGGAGCATAGCTTCCTATTGACCCCATTTGATTGTAATGGGAGCCGGTGTCTTAGTCTATCTGGGCTGCCAGAACAAAGTACTGTGTACTGAGTGGCTTATAAACAACAGAAGTTTATTTCACATAGTTCTGGAGTCTAGAAGTTCAAGATCAAGGCCTGCAGATCAAGTATCTGGTAAGGGCCTGTTTCCTGGTTTATAGACGCTGTCTTTTCTCTGTGTCCTCATATGGCAGAAGGAGCGAGTGGCCTCTCTCAAGCCTCTTTTATAAGGGCACTAATCTCATTTGTGAGGTCTCTTCTGCCATGGCATAATCACTTCCCAAAGGCCCCACCCACCTTCTATCACTATCACCTTAGGAGTAAAGATATCTACAAATGAATTTTGTAGATAGCAAAGAGCATAGCAAAGAGCATAGCAGTCAGACCATAGCAAAGAGCAAGTGCAGTGGGTATTGCAGTGAAGCAGTAAGAACAGGTAGGAACTGTGGCGGACTCATGCTGTCTAAAGAGGGCAGCAGCTATCCAGCCAGCCTTAGACTGTGGTAGATGTGATCACCTTCCAAAGGCCCAGACTCCTAGTACTATCATCTTGAGGGTTAGGATTTCAACATATGAATTTTGGAGGGACACAAACATTCAGTCTGTAGCAGAAAGTCATAAGCATAAACAAAACTCTTAATGTGTTTATTCACTGAGATTTTGAGGTTGCTTCAGCATTTAGCAGAATACTGACATTAATACAGCTCCTGAAGTTGCCTATTCACTAGTGTGTCAGGGGACCTAGCTTTATCGACATCATATTTCTTTTGAGCCCCCTTGTGAGGGCTTGATCTCATAGGTAGCCATCTCTGGGATTCAGAATTCTCTGCGCTTTTGGCTAACTGACGTAGCAGATACACCAGAGCTCTATTTGCAGTAGACACTGTTGAATCTTGTGGAAGAAAATGTATCCTCAGGGACAGAGATCTAGAAAGATAAGCTTGGCCTGATGACAAAGCCGTGGTTGTATGAGGGAAGGTTGCTCTGAATGTGGCTGTTTGTTTTTGGATCCATCCCTGGCCCTGTTCCAGCTTCCTGGATATTAGGGGGGGAGAGAGGCTTAGTAATAAAAACTGAAGAAGTTGTATAATCTGTATCTCTTTGCTTCACTTGTATGCAAAAAACACTACATCTTTCTAAGTGAAATAAGTCTCTCAGATCCTGTCCATAGGGTTTGTGGGATATTCAAACTTGGTTACATTTTGGGGAGTGTCCAGCTCACTCTAGGGTCTTTGTAGCAACAGAGGTGACTGTCCAATCCAGAAGACCGAGGTGAAAAGCCTCTGGCCTTCAGCCTATTATTGTCTCTTCTGAGATGCTCATTGTTTAGGGTTACTCATTTCATTAAGAAGTGAAGTCTCTGTGCTCAGGGTAAGACTTCTAAGTGGTCAGGGCTCAAGCCATTGTATATCCCTTTCTCAGAGGTCCTGCTGCCTTTGAGGACAGTTGGGAGGGGGTACAATTCATATTCCTTGAGAAATCTGTCACCACTGCCTTCTTTTAACTCAAGAAGGGTACCCTAGGGATCCAGTCACTCCTCTTCAGTTTAAAACATCACCTTCTGTTACAGGCTGAAAAGAGGCCATTTTGGTTATATTAAAATAGTAATTTAGACTAGACTTAGAAACTTGTATTAAATTTAGTTGGGTTAAATGTAAAAGCTGTATGAATTTAAAATTCTGCCTTTGTGGATCTGATATTAAAAAACTGTAAACACCTCCTTGAAATTGTGGTTGAAGGAGGGGGTCAGACTTCTAGAAACACAAATGTTGGCATCTTCTTTCTGCGGTGAAGTAGGGGAAGAATGAAGTCATTTATTTCTTTGTAAATCTATGGCAGCAAAAACAAAGCAAAACAAAAAATGCAAGAAACAAAAATAAAACAAAAAAGAAAATGAAAGGAAATGGACAACAGTAACAAAGAGATATTGGTCAATTTTTTCTTCAACTATTTCTACTAAAATGCCTAATATCTGGAGGTTGAATACAGTATTCCTTTAAATATTCCCCTGAGCATACCAAAGAAATGATTTATTCTTCCTCCCTTTGCCACAACACTATGCACACTTAACATTGTGATTATTGTAGATAGCAGAGTGGACCAGAGTCTCAG